TATATATATGTATATATATATATCCCATTATTAAGGAAGTGGGCAAAATATTAAAAATCAGTGAATCTTTTTTAACTTTTTTTTTTTTTTTTTGATAGGCAGAATGGACAGTGAGAGAGAGAGATAGAGACAGAGAGAAAGGTCTTCTTTTTGCCGTTGGTTCACCCTCCATTGGCTGCCGCGGCCAGCGCACTGCGGCTGGTGCACCGCGCTGATCTGATGGCAGGAGCCAGGTGCTTCTCCTGGTCTCCCATGGGGTGCAGGGCCCAAGCACCTGGGCCATCCTCCACTGCACTCCCGGGCCACAGCAGAGAGCTGGCCTGGAAGAGGGGCAACCGGGACAGAATCCGGCGCCCCGACCGGGACTAGAACCCAGTGTGCTGGCGCCACAAGGCAGAGGATTAGCCTATTGAGCTGCGGCGCTGGCTAAAAATCAGTGAATCTTGGCAAGGAATGTATGGGTATTCTACATACTTTAATTCTTGTAACTTCTCGATAAGTGTGACTTTGTTTCCAAACAAAACATTTAAAAACTGCTCTCCCTTGCAGAGTTCCCTGAATCCTAATTGACTTAGTGTGGACTGTACCCACAGGAATTGCATGAGCAAATGCAAAACCTTCCTAAATGTAAGTTAGTTTGCTAATCTGCCAAATGTTTGATTTCAAGCTCAGTGACAGGAGCATTGCCAAGTAGTTAAGGCAAGCTTTTTTTGTTTTTGTTTTTCTTTTTTAAGATTTATCTATTGGGGCTGGTACTGTGGCGCAGTAGGTTAATCCTCCGCCTGCAGCGCCGGCATCTCATATGGGCGCCGGTTCTAGTCCCGGCTGCTCCTCTTCCAATTCAGCTCTCTGTTGTGGCCTGGGAAAGCAGTAGAAGATGGCCCAAGACCTTGGGCCCCTGCACCCACATGGGAGACTGGAAAGAAGCTCCTGGCTCCTGCCTTTGGATGGGTGCAGCTCAGGCTGTTGCGTGGCCAATCGGGGAGTGAAGTAACAGAAGGAAGACCTTTCTCTCTGTCTCTCCCTCTCACTGTCTGTAACTCTACCTCTCAAATAAATAAATAAAACATCTTTATAAAAAGATTTACCGCCGGCGCCGCGGCTCACTAGGCTAATCCTCCGCCTTGTGGCACCGGCACACTGGGTTCTAGTCCCGGTCGGGGCGCCGGATTCTGTCCTGGTTGCCCCTCTTCCAGGCCAGCTCTCTGCTGTGGCCAGGGAGTACAGTGGAGGATGGCCCAAGTGCTTGGGCCCTGCACCCCATGGGAAGACCAGAGAACACCTTGGGTCCTGCCTTCGGATCAGCGCGATGTGCTGGCCACAGCGGCCATTGGAGGGTGAACCAACAGAAAAGGAAGACCTTTTTCTCTGTCTCTCTCACTCTCTCACCGTCCACTCTGCCTGTCCAAAAAAAAAAAAAAAAAAAAAAAAAAAAAAAACCTACTTATTTAAAAGTCAGAGTTATATAGAGAGAGGGATGGAAGGAAAGACAAAGAGAAAAATCATCCATCTGTTGGTTTACTCCCTAAATGGCCACAACAGCCAGGGCTGGGCCAGGCCGAAGCCAGGAGCCAGGAGCTTCTTCTGGGTCTCCCATGTGGGAGCAGGGGGCCAAGGACTTAGCCCATCTTCCTGGAACTGATGCCCATATGGGATGCCCTACTGCAGGTGGTGGCTTTACACACTATGCCACAGTTCTGGCCTCTAAGGCAAGCATCTTGAAAAATCATTCCTTTACCTTTGTCTCCTTTCAGAAAAATCTTCCCTAGGTGCAGACTCACACCAGTGCCTTGCTGACTTGGCCAGATATACTTTCCAGCTTTTGAGTGGCCTATTGTGAGCTCTCAACAGAGGTCCAAGGTTTGGGTCCAGGCTCCCTCCTTGCTGCTCTGCCACCTCATAGTGGCCTCTTAAATGGGATGGGGTAGGGAGAGAGTGAGGCAGGAAACAGAGCAGAGGTTGTGAATTGGCAAAACAAGAGCCTCTGGGACTAGCGCTGTGGCATAGCGGGTTAAGCCTTTGTCTGCAGTGCTGGCATCCCATATAGGCGGCAATTTGAGTCCCAGCTGCTCCATTTCTGATCCAGCTCCCTGATAATGTGCTTGGAAAATCAGTGGAGGATGGCCCAATTACTTAGGCCTCTGCACCCATGTGAGAGGCCCAGATGGAGCTCCTGGCTCCTAGTTCTGGCCTGGCCCAGCCCTGGCCATTGTGGCCATTTGGGGAGTGAACCAGCAGATGGAAGACTTCTCTCTCTGCCTCTGCCTCTCTCTCTCTCTCTTTATAACTGCACCTTTCAAATAAATAAATAAATGTTTTTTAAAAAAGAAAGAAAGCAAGAGCCCCTGCCACACAGATCTGTTTGGCTTATACAGCATTTCTTATTTACTTACTTTTAAAAAAAATTGTATCTATTGATTTTCACTTTATTTGGAAAGCAAAGAGACTACGAGAGTGAAAGAGAGAGTTTCTATCTACCAGTTCCCTCCCTAGATGCTTGCAATAGCCAGGGCTGGACCAGACTTTAGCTTGGGTCCTGGAACTACATCTGGGTCTCGCATGTGGGTGGCAGGGGTCCATGTACTTGAGCCATCATCTGCTACCTCCCACGGTCTGCACTAGCAGACGCTGCATCTGTAATGGAGGAACCTAAACTGGAACAAGGCCCTTCAATATGAGATGCAGGGTGTCCCAAGTGGCATCTTGATTGCTGAGCCAAAAGTCCACTCCTTGCCTATACAGTGTTTTTTAAAAATGTTCAGTTCATCACTGACACCAGCAATCAGGGTATTTCACACATACAAATTGGGTTGTATCTTCTCTGACCAACTGGACCCACATTCTTAGCATCTGGCAGCAGCTTGCTGGAGTCAGGGTGTGTGCCCTTGTGCTGCTCACAGCCACTCCCTACCCTTTTAGGTCATGACTAATGACCTTGCTCATTTGTAATTTCTGCTTGGCTTCTGGACTGGACAGTCTCCAAGGGTCTTTCAGCTCATGCCAGCTCTGACCATGACTCATATGTTTGTTGGCCTCAGAGGTTGCATGAGCTAAGAGTGAGATGGAGAAGCTATTACTTCCCAGATGAGCGCTATCTTAAGTACAGTGATGTAGGCAGGGCTGGATTCTGGTTCCAGATGCACAAATGGAGACCCGGATGGGGTGTGACCCTTAGAATCAGAGTTGAGAAGGAACCACAAGGTTTTATTGGGGAAGGAGGTTCTGAATGGAAGATGAAGAATTGGCAGAAATCTGAGTACTTGCTGAGCATGCCAGTTGTCAGGAACTGGAGGTATCACTGTGAACAATTTGAGGTTACAACTGAGAGCACTTAAGATTTGTAGCCTGAAAATGGATCCTGAGGAGGAAAAGGAAACAGTGAGGAACAGAATCAAAGTCTGGTGGAAAGAGTACTGAGTGAGGAGTCAAAGGGGGATGTTCTCCAGTGGCAGATCCCCTACTTACTAGCTGTGTGATCTTTAAAAAAAATTTTTTTTAAAATTTATTTGAGGGCTGGCGCCGCGGCTCACTAGGCTAATCCTCCGCCTAGCGGCGCCGGCACACCGAGTTCTAGTCCCGGTCGGGGCGCCGGATTCTGTCCCGGTTGCCCCTCTTCCAGGCCAGCTCTCTGCTGTGGCCAGGGAGTGCAGTGGAGGATGGCCCAGGTGCTTGGGCCCTGCACCCCATGGGAGACCAGGAAAAGCACCTGGCTCCTGGCTCCTGCCATCGGATCAGCGCGGTGCGCTGGCCGCAGCGCGCCGGCCGCGGCGGCCATTGGAGGGTGAACCAACGGCAAAGGAAGACCTTTCTCTCTGTCTCTCTCTCTCACTGTCCACTCTGCCTGTCAAAAAAAAAATAAATAAAATAAATAAAAATAATAAAATAAAAAATAAATTTATTTGAAAGAATTAGAGAATGAGAGGGGGGGAGAGAGAGAGAAAGCTCTTCCATCCACTACTTCACTCCTCACATGGCTGAAATGGCAGGAGCTGGGCCAGGCTGAGCCTCTTCCAGACCACCCATGTGAGTGGCAAGGACCCGAGCATTTAGGCTGTCCTGCTGCTTTTCCTAGGCCATTAGCAGGGAGCTGGATGAGAAGTGCAGCAGCCAGGAATCCAGCTAGCACCCATGTGGGGTGCTGGCGGTGTGGGTGGAAGCTTAACCCGCTACACATTGTCAGCCCTAGCTGTGTGATCTCGAGTGCACCAATCCACATCCCTAAGTTTATTTCCTCAAATTCAGAATGAGGGTGAGAAGAGGAGCCCAGCCTATCTCAGAGTTCTTGAGAGCCTAACCTGGCACATCAGAGAGCAAAGCGCTTAGCAAGAGGCCAAATGCTCTTGCAGCACAAGCTGGACCTCAGGAGCTGGGCACTGGCCTTGGAATGCCAGGGCTTGAAGGGCCCTTTAGGGGTCTGCAACCCCCTCATTTCACAAACTCTTCATTTTAGGCCCCAAGAGGAAAAATCATCTAGCAAGTTCAGGGAGAGAGGTGGGCAGAGTGCTCCTGCCTTGTGTTCCCTCCAGGAGTAGGTAAAGGAGTTTAACCAAAGAAAGAGAACAAGGACCTAGGAATGGTCACTTTATGTTCAGGGAATGGCCCGCAGATGTGTGGTTTTTTTTTTTTTTTTTTGACAGGCAGAGTGGACAGTGAGAGAGAGAGACAGAGAGAAAGGTCTTCCTTTGCCATTGGGTCACCCTCCAATGGCCGCCGTGGCCGGTGCACCGCACTGATCCGATGGCAGGAGCCAGGTGCTTCTCCTGGTCTCCCATGGGGTGCAGGGCCCAAGCACTTGAGCCATCCTCCACTGCACTCCCTGGCCACAGCAGAGAGCTGGCCTGGAAGAGGGGCAACCGGGACAGAATCTGGCACCCCGACCGGGACTAGAACCCAGTGTGCCGGCGCCGCAAGGCGGAGGATTAACCTAGTGAGCCGCGGCGCCGGCTTTTTTTTTTTTTTTTTGACAGGCAGAGTGGACAGTGAGAGAGACAGAGAGAGAGAAAGGTCTTCCTTTTGCTGTTGGTTCACCCTCCAATGGAAGCTGCGGCCTGCGCGCTGCGCTGATCCGATGGCAGGAGCCAGGTGCCTCTCCTGGTCTCCCATGCGGGTGCAGGGCCCAAGGGCTTGGGCCATCCTCCACTGCACTCCCTGGCCACAGCTGAGAGTTGGCCTGGAAGAGGGGCAACCGGGACAGAATCCGGTGCCCCGACTGGGACTAGAACCCGGTGTGCCGGCGCCGCAAGGCGGAGGATTAGCCTAGTGAGCCGCGGCGCCAGCTAGATGTGTGTTTCTTGACATGCACCACATTCACCATGCAAAGGGGACAGGCCCTTGGAGTTAGTCCTGACATCACAAGAACAAAGGAATACTTAGTGAACCCTCAAAATAGTCTTTATTTTAAGGGAAAGGAAGTACTTCTTTACATCTAGCAAGAACATACAGCAAGAACATGAGGAGGCCACAGAACACAAGCGATGGAAGAGACCAGCTCACTCTACTTCCCCTGATAGAGATGAGGAACCTGAGACCCAGAGATGAGAATGGCTACTCAGGGCCACACAGCTTGTTCCTGGCTGAGCTGGAACCGTAATGGTGTTCTTCAACTTGTAGTTCTGGGTTTTTACTCCACGGATCAGTTAGGGATGTATTTAGCTGTAAAATGATAGATTCGCACCAATAGGAGTTAATTGACTGATGATGGTGTTTAGAGATGGTGGTTTACTTTTCTCATTTTACAGGAGGCTCAGAGCTGGTGGTCAAAAATTAGTGTAGCTGCTAAAGGCTGTTAGGGTGCTAGTGTCTTCTGTCTTCCTATTCTCACCTTCAGTCTGAGGTTTTGGTCCTCATTGTCTCAAGATGGCTGGTTTACCTCTAGGTGTTGTATCCACATTCCAGACAGGTAGAGGAAAGGCAGCTCAGTTTGTCTCCCCTTCCCCAATCTTCTTGAAAGGGGGAGAGAGAGAAAGAGAGAGAGAGAGAGAGAGAGAGAGAGAGAGAGAGAGAGAGAATAAGAATGAATCTTCCATTTGCTGGTTCACTTCCCCAAAAGGCTGCAATAGCCAGGACTGAGCCAGGCTTAAGCCAGGAACCTAGAACTCCATCAGAATCTCTCATGCAGGTGGTAGGGGTCCAGTCACTTGAGTCATCATTCTCTATCTCCCAGGGTGAATCAGCAGGAAGCTGGACTGCCAGTGGAACAGTCAGAACTTGAACCAGCACTGCCACATGGATGCAGGCAACCCATGTGGTGGCCTAACCTATTGCACTGCAACCCCTGCCCCTCAAATTTTAAATAAGAATTTATTAAAAAAAAAAAAAGAGGAAAAAACTAATAAAGCAGAGGGCATTTGGCATAGAGGGGGAAAAGGAGGGTATGTGTGAATGTGAGGGGGGCTGGTGCAGAGGGTTATAAAGCTTGGATTAAAGTAGGGCCAGGAGAGGGCTTGGAAGAAGCTGTAGCAGGTGTGGGTATTTGGCGCAGTGGTTAAGATGCCACTTGGGATGCCCACACTCCATATCAGAATGCCCGGGTTCAAGGCCTATTTCTGCTCCCGATCCAGCTTCCTGCTCATGTGCATCCTGGGAGGCAGTACTCAGGGACATGCTGGCTCAAGTGCCTGGCTGTTTGCTGGCATTTGGGGAATGAACCAATGGACATGACTTCTTGTCTGTTGATCTCGACTGGTATCTCTGTGTGCGTCTGAATTTCAAATAAACAAAAATAATATAATACGAAACAAAATAGAAGTTGTGGCAGTAGGGAAGAGGGACTGAAGCAGGACAGCGCTGGTATTGATGGAGATGCTTCTGAGGCAGGAGAAGCTAAGAGGCCTGTGGGGAGAAAAGATTCGATAATTGAGGTCTGTAGCTGGGTGCACATAACTTGGACTCTATTAACCTAACGAAGGAGCACGGGCTTCCGTAACTCTTAAGTTTTCTTAACCATGTGACTACCAAGGAGCTCAAAGCCATTCTATTCACGAGGTCTAGTATAGGACTTGAGGCTGGCTACTCCAGGCGGCAGCAAGAAAGGTCAAAGAAACTTTTTAGCTTGTACCTGTGTTTTCCTACAACAGTTAAGTTCATGATTAGACAAAATCTGGGACCTTGAAGTTACATTAATTTTACCAGAAAAGGAAATAAATTTTATTTATCTTTGTACAAGTGTCTAACTCACTGTGTGGCCCTTCCGGATGTGAGGTACTCAGTGTCTGTCTGATAAATCATGATGGCGTTTGTCCTCACTTCCTTTGGAGCCTGGCTAAGTGTGCGAGAGGAGAAGCTCTGAGTTTGTGCCCAAGATCCTTGGCTAATTAGACAACTGGTGTATGACTTAATCAACCATTCTTGTTCTCTGGGATCATCCCAAAGTCCTTTCCAGGGCTTCAAATTCATAGTTCTACTTATGTATATCTTCCAGTTATCACTTAAAATTTTTAAAATAATCTAGTTAACTTGAAGAACAGAGTGACAGAGAGGTAACTTGCCCACCAACTGGATGGCTCCCCAATTGGCCACAATGGTAGGGGCTGGACTAGGACAAAGCCAGGAGCCAGGAACAACCATCTGGTTTTGCAATGTGGGTGCCAGAGGCCCAAGTGCTTGGACCATCTTTGCTGCTTTCCCAGGCACATTAGCAGGGAGCTGGATCAGAAGTAGAGTATTGAGACTTGAAATGTGCTGATATGGGATGCCATCATTGAGGTAGTAAGTGGCAGCATAACCTATGTGCCACAACACCAGCCCCACCTGTCTCTTAATTATTTCACATATGTCTAAGCTCTTAACATCTTACAGTCCCTGTGCTTTTAATAGTAAACGATTTAAGTGCTTGTTAAGTGCTGGGCATCAAGCACTTTATACATATTTTCAATTATATCTATATAACAACTCTAATGAGGCTGGTGCCATTTCACCTGCATTTACAGTTGCAACTGAGGTAGAGATTAGATATCTCCTGCAAACTCACATAACTTGCAAAAGTAGCAGTGCCCAGATTTGCATACTAGGCTCTGGGTCCAGAGTCCACTTTACCTGGAAGTAAGCTGCCTCTAGGTCATCTGATTAGGGAGTGTGAGAGGCTGGCAACTGTTATCTCATTTTCAAAACTGAGACAACAGAAACTTAACTGCCCCAGGGATATCCAGGTGGAAAGCAGCAGAACTGGACCTCCAACCCGGGACTTTTCTTTCCTTTTTTTTTTTTTTTTTTTTTTTAAATTTATTTGAAATTCAGTTAGAGACTGGGGGGTGGGGGAAGGGAGAGGGAGAGAGAGAGACCAAGAGATCTTCCATCCACTGGTTCATTCCCTGTATAGCCACAACCATGGGAGCTGGGCCAGCAGCCAGGAGCTTCTTCTGGGTCTTCCATGTGGGATATTGACGTCCCAGGCAGAGTCTCACCCAACTACACCACAGCGCCAGCCCCGTCACATACTTTAAAGAGTGCCTGGAACATAGTAAACATTCAATAGATGTTAGGTGACACTAATATAATCCTGAACCAGCGCTGTCCAGCTGAAATATAATGTGAGCCGAACAGCAATGTTATTTGGCAGCCACATTTTAAAATTAAAAGAGGGAGCCAGTGCAGCAGGTTAATTTACCGCCTATGACTCCAGCCTTCCACATAACCCATGTTTCAGGCTCCCTGCTAGTGCCTGGAAAAGCAGAAGATGGCTCAAGTGCTTGGGTCCCTGCCATATACGTGGGAGACCTGGATGGAGTTCCAGGCTCTTGGGTTCCACCTGGCCCAGCCTGGACCATAGAGGCCGTTTGGAGAGTGAACCAGCAGATGGAAGATCTGTTTCTTCCTCTCTTTCAGTCTGCCTTTCAATACTCTCAATACAAATAAATCATCCATAAAAAAGGTTAAAAGAAACATGAAATTATTTTAATTTTTTATATAATCAAATATACTCTCAATAGTAATCAATTTCTAATCAACTCACTTGTAATCAGAAAAAAAACCGTGAACGAGGCATTTCACATTTTTTTTTGTACTAAGTCTCAGAAACTCGATGTGTATTCTCCATTTACAGCACATTTCAATTTGCACCGGCCACGTACCAAGAGCTCACCAGCCACAAGTGGCTCGTGGCAGCGGGGCCCTGTAGGGGTCCCCCGGTCGCGTCCTCTGGCCCCACGCCGGGTTCCTCCCACTCACCAGCTGCTCCGCCCTTAGGCCGGCCTCGCGCCCCTCCCGGGTTACATCACAGAGCACACACGCCGGCGGGCCAAGGGAGACCCGGGCCCAGGCCGCCAGCGCCCTAACTCTCACATCCTCCCCGCTCCAGGCACTCAAGCTCTATAAGGAAGCGGCGGTCAGCACAGAACCGCAGAGGCGGTCGCCCGGGGCCCCGGGTCAACCAGGGCGTTCGTGGGCGGGAGGGGGCAGCCTGGAGCCCCCATGCGCACCTCGCCCGCAACCGCCCGCCGCTCGCGCCGCTTCCACGGAGAGGTCGAGGAGGCGAGGCCGTTTCCCATTGGCCCATCGCAGCCCTCTGCCCGCCCTCTCGCCACACTGATTGGGCGAGGCGGCAGGGCCCTCTGGGTAGGCGGTGGCGGCGCCCCGCCCTCGCGCCGGCCCTCAAGAGGGCGACGAGGAAGCGGCCGCCTCCCTGTGCCCCGCCCCTCGGGCTCGCTCGCTGCCTGCCGGCTCCTCCCGACTGTTCCCGGCTCCTCCCGGCCCTCTCCCGGCTCCCTCCGGCTCCAGCTCCAGCTAGGCGGTGGCGGGTGAGTGCAGCCGCGGGCGCGGCCCCCTCGAAGGGGCGGCCTCCCCGCTGTCCGGGGACTGCCCGTGCCTCGCCCCGCGGCCGCTCGGGACCCCTCAGGGCCCGCTCGAGGCGCTGAAGGGCGGTGGCCGCCCGTCAGCGGGACGCGGGGGTGGCCGCGGGAGGGGGCGGGCTGGGGGCCTGCGGGAGTGGCCTTCGGAGTCTTCCAGGCGCGATCCTGGGGCGCCGTGGGCGAGGCGGGCTGAGGGGGTCCGTCTTCAGAGGTCTGGCGCGGTGGGGCGGAGCGGCGTGGCTCGGACTCAGGATGGAGCTGAGCCCGGGAGCGAGGGTCGGCTGCCGCCTGGGGCCCTGGGTGGGGCATGGGGGGGTGCTGTAGGCGAACCCAGGGGTCGCGTCCTGAAGCCCTGGTGGGGGGCGTCAGTGGAGGTGGTACTGAGGAGATCCTTAGTGTGGGTGTCCCGTAGGGGTTCTGGGTGGGGCTGAGGGGTGGTCTGGAGAATCGGGCCCGAGCCAGGGCTCTGTCTGCGTGCTTGGGCGCTGGCGCGTTTTGGCGACCCAGGAGTGTGTCTGGCTGGGGGAGTGTGATGGGGTCTTATTAAGGGTAGAGCGGGAGAAAAGGCACAGGGACCGTTGGAAACAGTGCCCAGAGCAGAGGTGGTGATTTCGCACATGGGACAGGTTCCTCTGCGGTGTGTTGCCTGAGCTTAAGTGAAATTGCCACTTTGGGCCGTTTTGAGGGGTTTCGCTTACCTTCAGGAGTATGTAAATTAAATGCACTTACTGCTCTGGGAGGAGGCAGTGATTACCCTTGAGTTTGTGTTGTAGGACGCAGCCGGGGCCGGAGCATGTGCTCCTCGGGAAGGTTAGTGTTACCCAGCTTTCTGCTGGAAACCCCCTTTTCTCCTTTCCCTCCTGTGGTCCAGTTACAGTACTGCTCCCCAGGGCCTCTCGAGTCTCTGCCTGGCTGCATAGCATTGCAGCAGCGTCTCCTGCTCCCTCTGTGTGTGTCTCCCGCCCATTTCCCTGCGCTGGGCTTTTGGCAACTGCCACTGCTCTTTCCCAGGGATGGTTGTGGCATTGCATCAGGGGATATTTGTGCTTGCAATTTGCGCACTCAGCCCTGGAGGAGGGAGAATAGTATGCTGCAGAGATGGGAGGGGGGCGCCGGCAGCTTGGCTGGGTAGGCAGAGAGATGGGTGTGGTGAGGGAAATACAGCTGCTCTGCTCTCGGCCTATAGGGTAACACTGCCCAGTCATCAGCGCAAAGAGATTCAAAGAGCAGCAGCAGCTATTTTTATAAATCAATCCTGAATCCAAGCTGAGCACATGGATTTAGAGTGAACAGTTGTCATGCTCTAACTATTACAGGCCGGGTGTTTGGTGGACAACATTAGAGTTGCTAAGCAAGGGACTCCATCTGTACAGTGTGCATGAGTTTTCAACTTTGCTTCTCTCGACACTGTAGAGTAGGACTCTCTTCAGGGACCCTTCTTTTAAATTGATGCACTTTGATGGCCATAGTACTTCTTTTCAAATAAAATATTTTTTGCCTCACTTATACTCTTCTTTTCAAATATAGCTTAAAAATAATAAAGCTGTCATATCTCCCAGGCATTAGTTTTATTTATTGACCGATGAGGAAATTGAGAGTGATAGTATTAAGTCACACAGATAGTTAAGTGGCAGAAATGGCATCCAAAGCAAGATTTCTCTGACCTCACACAGTAGTCCTGAAACTTCAGGATTTTGATTTATATGGGTGATTCAAATGCTTGAGAGTATATTCGTGCAGCGTAAACTCTGCAGAGACTGATAAACCAATACCGGTTTTCACCCAAGGTATTGAGTGCCATGTACACAATTGTATTTAATTATCCCCTGGCAGGGCTACCTCCATTGTTCCAATAGGCCTAATCAGTAATAAGAAGGAAGTTGATTATAGAATCGGAATGAAGGGCACTGGATTTTCTTGGGGCATGTTTTAATCACATTTCAGAAGCCCGGTGATTGCCACATTTTCCTGTTGTAAGGGCACACTAATGTTGACCAGGACTGGGGAGTGTCCCAGCTAACACATTTTCCCACTGTCTCACTTGTGTGTTTTTTTTTTTTTTTTGCCATCATATTTTGTCATCTCAGTATCCATGTTAAAATTCTTAAATCTACAGATAAGTTTGCATTTCATATTAAAAAAATCATTTTCCATTGTTTGCTGACAGTGAAGGAAGCACCTGGATTTTCTTGTCTGGGTGACTTAGTTTTTAGTCACAGAGCTGATTCTTCCTGATGTCAGTGTCTTCGTTTTTCACAGCAGCTTTCTTATTTCTTAATTGGTTAACCCATCCTTTGATTCTGTAAACTTCTGCTGTGACACTTCAAATTTTTGGCCTAATTTTTCCTCTCTTTTTTAACATTAAGCATGAGTTGTTGATGTTTTAGTTTTCATTAAATAAGAAAATCTGAGAAGAACATTTTGACCCACTGGAAGACATTTTGGTGGTTTTTCGTAGTCAATTTGAAAAGGAAACCAAGGAAATATCGTTGATTTCACTTTGCCTAAGTGGTATGCTTAGAACCAGGTTACTGTGGACTGATTGTTAGGGTGAGTGTGTTCAGAACATTTAGGATCAAGAAGAAGGATAAAGCAAAATTTTATGTTTCTGTCATATGAGGGATCATACTGATCGACCTTCTTAAAGTTCTCTTGGCTAATCTTTCATTGCAGACCTTATAGAGAACTACTTTGATTATCATTAAAATTTGAGCTTGAAAGTTAACCTAGTTTACTTTTGTAATTCTGTATGGGTTAAAAAATTAATCTGAGGCCTGCGCTATGGCAAACCGGTTAAGCCATGCCTGTGGCATCCCGTATAGGTATCCACTGTTCGACTTAGAATCTAGCTTATTGTAATGTGCCTAGGAAAGCAGTTGAAGATGACCCAAGTCCTTGGGCCCTTGTACCCATGTAGGAAACCCAGATGAAGATCCTGGCTTCAGGGTTCTGTCTGGCCCAACCGTGGCCATTGTGGCCATTTAGGGAGTGAACCATCAAATGGAAGATATTTCTGTCTTCCTCCCACTCTCTCTCAGCCTCTCCCTCTCTGTAACTCTGCCTTTCAAATAAATAAATAAATATTTAAAAAATTAATCTTGCTACAAAACCTATCATACTACTTTGTATATAAATAGCCTTCTTTTATTTATAACTTTTTCTTCCTAATTTTTACAAGAAAAATATAGTACAGTAGTAAAAAAATTTTTATTGGGGCTGGTGCTGTGGCATAGTGGGTAAAAAAAATTTATTTGGAGGTAATTTTAGGTTTACAGAAGAATTGTAAAGATAGTATAGAATTTCTATATATGCTTTATAGTGTTTTTTTTTTTTTTTAAGATTTATTTATTTATTTGAAAGAGTTAACACAGAGAGAGAAGGAAAGGCATAGAGAGAGAGGTCTTTCATCCACTGGTTCACTTCTCAGTTGGCTGCTACTGCTGGAGCTGTGCCAATCTGAAGCCAGGAGCCAGGAGCTTCGTCTAGGTCTCCCATTCAGGTGCAGAGTCCTAAGGACTTGGGCCATCTTATACTGCTTTCCCAGGCCATAGCAGAGAACTGGATCTGAAATGGAGCAGCTAGGACTTGAACCGGTGCCCACATGGGATGTGGTCACTGCAGGTGGCGGCTCTACCCACTGCGCCATAGTGCCGGCCCTTATAGTGTTTCTTATGCAACTGTAATATACTTAGCAAACTTAAGAAATCAACATTACCTGAATTATAGACTTTGCTCTGGTTTTCCTGTTTTCCACTGATGTGCTTTTTCTGTTACAGGATCCCATCCAGTATACCACATTGCATTTAGATGTCATATTTCCTTAGTTTCTTTCAATATGTGATGATTTCTTGGTTTCTTCTTGTCTCTCTTTGCTTGATACCTTTGAACACAGTAGTCAGGTATTTGTAGAACTTAGTTCCTTATTCTAGATTTTCCTCATTGGTAGTCTGAGGTTATGCATTTTGGTGAAGAGTACCAGAGTGATATGTGATATGCCCTTGTCACATTTTAACTGGGGATACCTCATACCAACAAGACTTATTACTGACGTTAACTTGTTAAGTTGGTTAAGATGATGTTTGTCATGGGCAGATGTTCAGCAGTCAAGATACCTCCACTCCGTATCAGAGTAACTGGGTTTGATACCCAGCTCTAGCTCTTGACCCCACAATCCTGCTAACGCAGATCCTGGGAGCAGCAGGTGATGGCTCAAGTAATTGGGTTCTTACAACTCATCTGGAAAACCTTGATTGAGTTCCTGGCTCCTAGCTTTGACTAGGGAGCACTGCCACTGTGGTCATTTGGGGAGTGAATTAGCGATGGAAGCATTCTCCCTCTATTTCTGTT